AAACCGAAATGCTGACTTGATTAGAGTGGAATGATTTTTATCATGTTAAGTTGATGGTGGCATGATTTTGTATGGCATGAATAAATAAATTTCAATGGGGTTGTTAAGTACAATGTGAATATAGTATTGTAATTATTTATGTCTTAATGAGAATTAATTATGGCATGTAAAATATGAAATCTATAAACAAGGGATATGGATGCGTGATTAAGTAATTAAATGTCTATAATGCAATGCTAAATATGGAGTTGTTACATGACTTGATGGGTGAATTGGTACATGATCTAAGTTGTTAAAGTGTATAATGATGATATGTTATTGATCATGAGTCATGATATTGGCATGAAGCTTGAGTAGTGGTTATTTATGCATGGCTAGCTGGTATATGCTTGATTACGAGATAAGTTAATCAAGTTTGTATGCATGATATGTCATTAACTAACATAAGCATATTGCATGATCACGGATAGGTGAGAGTTCACTTAAGAGGGTAGAGCAATAAGGAAATCTATGTGGTACTCACCAACACTGTGAAGCCTCGATGCTTTGGTTCATGAATATTACCCTAAATTGGTTATTATCTTGGACTGGGCAAAATGACACCTCATGAGTTTGAAATGGGGGAATCCGTGATGCAAGAGTGAATATGAGGCCTTATTTGGGCCATCCCTTACAATTGGAGAGCAGGGCTAATTTAGTCACATGTGTTGGTTATATATGAATTAATAGCCCATGAATTCAATCAGAAGATAAAATGACATAAACAAGGATGGAATGTATATGGTCATGCCTAATTATCATCATTTCATTATATGCTTTGTAATTAATGGTCAATAATCTTGTGGTACATGTCAAATATTGATAAAATGTTAATGATAATTCCTTGCCTTGTATTCCTATTGGCTAATAATCATTAGTCTTATGATACATGTTGAATGTAGAAAGATTGTTATTAGCAATTCCCTACCTGATGTACTTGTATCTGTCACATTTTTATGTACTTAGTTATTAAGATTGTATAATCTCACTCTTGTTTGTTAATATTTTTCCAAGAATGCCAAGAGTGATGCAAAAGGGAAAGCATATAAGCCTAAAGACACTTAACTATATAAGTAAAGTCTCCAACTATTTTTAATTGGTGTAATTGAACATTTACTATTGTCGACATTAAAGATTGTACATGTTTTGATCATATTTCCATTGCATGAGCTTGACATTTAACTCAAGCATTTATGATTGCTTGATCTTGTGTCTTGTAAAAGACCATCCATGTAAATGTTTGACATGATTGATGACCCTTACTTCTTATCATAATTTGGGTATATTAATTTTTAAGTAACTTATGTATGGGTTTAAATTACTTATAATTATTTTGAAATAGTATTCCTATTGTCAACGATACTACATTGATATTGTGATATTTGTCATGGTGAACAATATGGTTGGCCGTGACAAACATGTATGTTCGTGCTAGATACCGCAAGGAGGCCATTGGTCGAGGTGAGAAAGTCTTTATGCCACAAGCCATGGCATGAGTAACAGTAGCCATAACAAGGATTTCAATCTAGTGTTGGCCATGGCAAAGGTGGTGTTCACAATTTTCCAAAAATGACAGTTTTACCCTTTATCAATTTCTTTCTTGATTTTTTTCTTTTCCTATGTTTCCACATAGTTAAATATACTCTGATTCACTAAACAAGTCTTTGTTAAACCATGATTGTTTAGTTTAATTGGGGGTTAATGACAAAGGTCATTGCAAATAAAGCTTCAGAAAAAGAAAAAAAAAACCTCAAAATTGAACAAGAAAAAAAGAACCCAGACAAAATAAACAAGCCAAATTTGAGAACGCAACTTATATATGCATATTCCTCTCACTCTTCCTCTTTGAAATCAAATCCCTACCCATAGATCTAAAGCATGACCTAGATTTGAGAACACAACTCATATCAAAATCGAATCCTTACCTCACTCAGTTCTTCTTCCTATTTGAAATCCCACCCAATGTCTTCCAATCATCTTCCTTGGCATTATCCATCATCTTCCTTGCTGTAGGTTTGTAGGCTCAACCTCTTTATCCTCTTCCTTGACGATCTCACAATGCCATCTCCATCACCCTCGTCCTCGTTCTTCTCCCTTAGATTTACCTCTTATGTAATTCCCCATTCGATAATCCAAGCCATATCATCAATAACTCTTCTCTAGAATGGCTACATGTAACGCATTTCAGAGTAGGTGAAAGAAAGAGGAAGCCAAATATTATTTTTTAAATTTTTGAAATAAATGCCATGTAGCTGGTAGCACATTAGATGAATGTCAAACTAATGGTCAAAGTTTGAATTTATTAGTCCAAGGTGACATTTTACTAAAATAAAAAATGTTGGGGTGACATCATAAAAAAATGCTTAAAGATATGAGATATGAGATGTACTTGAATGAAAACTTCGAGAGTAAATTTATACCTTAACCTTAAAAAAATTAATAATATATTCGAGATGGGACGTCTCGACAATGATCCCTTGTCATATCCTGTCTTGAACATATTTTTATCCTTCCTACAAAATCCCATCTCATCTTTTTAGAATGGCATGATTGTGATGAATATGGGCTAACCAAGACGGAAACAAGTATGAACACCCTTCTAGCTTTAATTTTCATACTCCATATCATCCAATCCTATAATGACAATAAATTTTTTTTAATGTTTTCATACTTCATTTTTCTCAAGGAGAAAAGACCTAGAGGAAACTATTGAATGCCAATAGCAATACTCTTGTTTTGAGCAATATTATTAAAATTGGATCAAACCGATTGAACAAGGAACCGGCCACCACAGAAAATTAGGAAATTTGAGAACTGGCCAAAACCTATAAAACTGATGAGAAACCAATTGAATTAGACATGTTATTTTTTATTTTTTATTCATATTTCTAAATTATAATTTATACATATTTATACCTAATAAACATTATGAAATAAAAAGATTGCAAGAAATATGTATGAATTATGTATATATGTATATATTTTAAAGTTGTAAATTATAAATTATGAAAAATTATATATATTTTGGATGAAAATGATGCAATATTGATAGATATTATCTTTTGTATTGTATATTATTCTATTTGAAATTTAAACATCCTTTTTGTTACCATATGATTATTTCTTTCTACTTTAAATATATAATATTCAAAATATATTAATTTATTCATGATTGATTGGATCACGGTTCAGACCACAGTTCAACCATTGCATTATAAACCAGTGCTTTGATCAATTCAATGACCAGTCTAATTTTGATAATGTTCATTTTGAGATGTATCTTGGTTGATAAATTTCTTTTGGTCATCTATGGTATTCTTAACCCCATATTATATGACCATCCATTTAAGAATTTCTTGAAATTGATCCTACCAAGCACTAATATGATGATAACTGAACAGTTTTCTGGACACACACACAAACAAACAAAAGGGAGAATGCAACTCAACCAACAGAATAATTTAATTCAAAATTGTCTAAATATACGATTTCAAAACATATAATACACACACACAAGGGAGAACACAACTCAACCAACAAAATAATTTAATTCAAAATTGTCTAAATATATGATTTCAAAACATATAATAGGCCTGCCTAGATGTCATGTATGTATAATTTACATTGTTTCTTTTCTTTTTTCAAAAAAAAAAAAAGTTTAGATAGTTGGGTCCTTAGAGCTCATATATAGTGTGAAGATAGGCCTCCAAGCTCAAAAAATATTTTAAAAAATATTTATATACCTTCTACCAACAATATTCTTATATTAATAGTAGGATTTGAATTCCAACATTATAGTTTATAAGTCAAATACTTATAAATTAAACTAACTTTTGTTAGCAATTTACTTTAATTTGTCGATGATGATATATTGAGGCAGTCATGCATGCTCCACAAGTCTCTCCAATTTTTTATTTCTTTTGCTGTAGTATGCAAGTATTAGTTCTTTGCAATGAGAGGTGTGCTAAGTTGCCCTGTTTGATACTAGAAATTGGTTCTACAGAGTTATGATGGAAAAGAGAGACAGAGGGAGATAACATACGGCTCACATACCCATTGTTTATAATCTCTAGGCTTCTTCAAGAAGACCATTGTACAAAGCTCTATCATCTATTGTTTAGCTTTGAAGTAAGACATTACTCCTTAACCCCAAAAGTTTGTTGTGTAAGCAAAACTGACTCCTCGAGCTAATACTGTTTTGCTAATTAATTCATTTATGCTCTGGAATGTTGTTTATGCTCCATCACTAGGCACGTGACTTTTTTTTATATTTAGAGTAATATTTAAATAAAAACATATTATTAACTCACAAGTAAATAGAATATTCATGGATGCACCCTAAGGGGCCTATTTGGTTGTGTTTTCATTGTTTGTTTTTAAAAATTAATTTCTAATATAGTTTTTAAAACAAAACAAATTATTTTTTAAAACAAAGCAAAAAAATGTTTGATTATGTTAATTTATAAACAGTTTTGAAATTAAAAAATCAGCCAATAATGATAATTATTGACCATTAATGATGATTGTTTATGATGGTGATTGATCATGGTGACTATAGTTTTCAATAATTGTAATATATTTTAAAAATAAGAAAAATAAAATAAAAATAATTTAAAGATATTTCTTTTTTAAATAACAAATAAAAATAGTTTTTAAAACAATCAACTTAAAAATATTTAACTAAACAAGCTTTTTTAATTTTTTGTTTTACAAAAACCAAACTTTTTTTTTTTAACTCAAGATATTATCATTTCAATTTTCTGGTAGTACCATCAGCCGTCTCAGTTGAGCTGCAAACTTGTAATTCCATGAAACTAAGGCAGTAGAGAGGAAGGTGGGCCCTCCAATCCCACGGTCACTGTTCGTTGGGGCCCAATCCGAGTCCTCCTTTGACGATCCTCATCTTAAGCGGTTTATAAAATCAAAATGGATAAATCTCCCCGCATTTGGCGTGATGCCCACACCTGCTATCATCTACGAAATAATAATTTTTGGAATTTGCTTCATACTTCTCAATTTCTTCATCTTTGATTCATTTCCTGTATCGTCAAAATCTTCAAAACTGAGGTCTGAATTCGGATTTAAGACTTAGGCTCATGGCTTGAAAACCAGTACCAGTGGTCGCAGGCTCTGAATCTTCAGAAAAGTGACAATAACGAGTTTCAATTTGCCTTTTGGGTTACTGTATGAGTATGAAAATTCTGAGAACCATGAGTACTCCTTTTTGTTCCGATCCCACACCCGCATGTTTGCGAAAACTACAAAGCACACGACGTTATTCGAATCGGTACAAATCAAAAGGGAGCGAAAGGGAGGACCATGAGCAACTAAAGCAGCAAAAGGGCAGTGGAGTGAGAAGATTTGATGCGTCAAAGCTCTTGTTTCATTGCTGGTAATTGGTGAGAAGCAGCATATACATATATGCTAATGTAAACTATGCGCCACGAAGTTCGGGCGGTAAAAATTATATTCTCGACACGTTCTTGCAGCCAAACAGAAAGGCAAGACCTGTTGTATGTGGGGAATTCTGTTCCTGGGAGTTACAGCATCGAGTATTGGGGTTGAATGCATCAGCGGCGGGACCAAACAGCGTAAATTGGTTTGGTCTTTATATTTACTTTGTCGGAATGTTTTATGGTATCTATCGAAGATTTTGAAGTTTCGTGATGTATTGGCGCCGCTGATGTTTAAAAAGCATCTGGTTTATGCTAGGAAGATGGTTAGACATTTCTTTTTCTGTAAAGGTCATTGACTATAGTACACATTTCTTTCATTACCGAATGATTATTTGGAAATTCAGATAAGGGGCAACCGTCTTGACGAACACCAGTAGAAAATAATTTAATGTTAGAAAAATAATTAGAGTTTTGCAAGAACGGTTTTCCATATAAAATTTCAATTAAAGGATGAATGATTTGATACGGCTGATTCGGAGTAAGTTTTATTTTGTCTTAATCTAATGAGTTGTTATGGCAACTCTACGTAAGCATTGTCTTCCAAGCGTTTTGGCATGACTGCTTTCCCAGTTGGTAATGATTCCAATGAATATTCATCAATTTTTCATTCCTTTATTGGCATAAAATTACGGCAACTTTTTGAGCTTCCTATCTAAATATTCCACCAATGCAATGCCTTACCTCTTATTTAGTATTCATTTTTCACATGACATGATCAATGCAAGCAGTGAACTTTCTAGTTAGTTTGAAATCTCTTGGAGGCCACTGAGGTCAGTTGCTATTTGCTAATTTTACATGTTCATCAAAACTTGTTAAACTTAATTGTCAAAATCTTCTTGTGGTTATTACTTTTTATACCTACTGATTAGAAAACAACTTAAGCGCCTGATTATGTTACCAGGTACGTAAAAATTGACATGTAGAAAAAGTTTCTGCCACAGTTTTCTTTTATTTTTTTCAATCAGTATATTCCTTGAAAGCATGTGGCAAAATTACAGAAAATTAGCTATCATGAATTGGACAGGGCTTTGTGCACTTGCTATTCAGTCTGTGCTTTACCAGGTGAGCTGGCGAAATGCTAAAACTCTTGCATAAGATTTCCTATGCTTAACTGTAAGATGTTGTTCTGCATATTTATATCATCATCATACCATGAAACAATAGAAACTGCTAACTATAAATTCTGTTCCCTGTTTACCTTGCAAAATAAGACCTTAAATGTTAAAGAACATGACAAAGTATTTTTGCCTGGCATATTAAGGCGCCAAAAATTCTCGACTAATTCATATGTACACTCTTACTCCTTTATGTTGCTGTTGCTCTCTTTGTCTCTTCAAAAAATGGTGCACTGGACAGAAGATTCAAATTATAACTTTCTTATCTTATTCTTATCACTGAAGAAGTGATTAAAATGAACTTAATAGCTGTTTAGCATAAGGAAGTTTACCATTAAACGATTGATTGGAGATTGAATGAGTGAAACACTTTAGGCAAGTATTAGTTGATGTTCATTTAGGCTGTTATTTCTCAGTTGACTGTTTGACTGAACTTACACTAAGTAATAAAACAATTAGGATGTATTCTTGCTAGCTTTCTTATGAAAAATCAGTAATATATGTTTTTTTTTATCAGATAATATATGCCTTTTATAGTTTTTGTCAATACAAATTACTTAAAACAGAGTGGGACAGTGCATTTGCACGGAATTTAAGACGAGTCACACTGTTCACGCTAGTGAACAATGAACCTTCTTACAGCTTATTAATATTAATTAATATTAATAATTTGATTCCGCATGTGTCAAATTATAATTTTATTAAGAATTTTTGTTGCAACATGGGAGCTAAGTCCTTTTCAGCATAAAGATCTCATAGGGAAGATCCTTTACTTGCACAATTGCCTTAGGGAGACCCATTTCAACCTTGAAAATTTTCAAGTCAGTGCTAGCAGTGAACCACCTTATAAGACAAGTTGCCTGCAACCCCAATTTATTGCCCAGTGTCTTGTCCTTCTTGACGGCGCAACATATCTTTTCATTTTCAAAAGCACAGAAAGAGAAGAGCACTCTTTTGGTCTCCTCCCAGTTTCAATCTTCCCGAGAGAGGAGCACTCGTTCATTTTCCCTCGGTATCGATCCTTGCTACCTTGTCTACTTATAAAATGAATTGTTCCACTTAATTGAAGCATTCATTGCAAAATTTCTTAGCAATTTTATGCTGTGCAGGCATTTGAACAATTTCTAGATCTACTTCTGTGATTCTGCTCGTCCAGAATCTAGGGTGAAGATCTTGTTTCAGAATTAAAGGCAAGTTCTCGACTCAGTTTCAAATTTCGATATGGTAGGAATTATAGTTGACAAAAAAATTCCGCCTCTCCTGCTTGCCAAAGAGATCAAATCTTTCTGATTAAAGTTTGAACCTCACAAAGGGCGGTTTATTTATGCATGCAATGTCCATTAATGTGTTTTTCTTGATTGATACACAATTTTGCCGATCTGTTCAAGTATAGATTAATCGTGTTTTTGGGGATAAAATTGCTGTCATGTCTAATTGATTTTCGATCTTAAAGACAATTCACTAGTGTGGCTTTCTGCATCAGTGAATCCGGTATCATGTTTACAATTTTTTTTTTCTTTATTGTCATTTTAACTCACTATTGATCTTATCTCAAGTTCATAACATTTTTAGTCTTTAAAATGTACTTTTCCAATCTCCTGAAGAAAAAATGAAAATATCTTTGTTCTTTTGGCCCACCCTAGAAATTATTCTTGAAGAAGCATTCAGGCAAGAAGTTTTATTGAATAGCAGTAAAAGGTCTGTTGATTATAGTCTTACCCCTCAATAGTTTATTAATTAAAGTTAATGATTATAATGAATATTCCAAGAGAGAAAATTTTGTCAAAAATAACCAACTTAAATGAGACACTATGATAAGTCATAAATATCTAAAAATTGATGACGTGAGTCTATTCAAACACAAAGATGTTAGCAATTCATAACACGAGGAAGTAAATTGAGACCAATCAATTTTCACTAATTGAAAAGCTACTGTATGAAGAAGCAAATATGTTTTCAAGAAGCATGTTACAAAATAGTTATGTTTGCATAGAACAATGTTGTTGCTTTGGATTTTGGTGATCTAACCAGACACAGGGAAAGTAATTTGTTGGGGTCTCTTGATTTCAAGCAAGAATTCTACAATATTATTTCTACAGAAGATTGTTGTTGGTTTGGTCTTCAATAGTCTGATACCAGTTATAGGGAATGTATTTGGTTTTGGTTGCTGTGGTTTTTGTATAAATAATATATGAGAAGTTAGTCAGGAAGTTACCTAGGTAGTTGGTTGGAGCTGTTTGGCTTGCTACTATATCAATTTATATCAATTTACCAAGTGTGAGGAGGACATGTATGATGGTTGATGAAGATTCTTTTTGTCTAGATCTCTCTTTCTTTCTCCTTTCATCTATCTTTCGTCTTTGTCATGACAAATGGTATCAAAGCAGACAGCAATGGTCCCCTGACCAAGAAGGCATGTGTTTAAAAGCTACAATGAGGGAGCAAATGGACTGAATTTGTCTGCCTATGGAACAGTGTACTGCAGATTTGATGGATCAAAGACTGTCATGGAGCAGAGGATGTCAAACATTCTAGTAGACAGAAGAGATGTCAACCGAGTTGATGAGGTCAATGGAATCAAGTGGAAAGGGTATTGTGCCTTCAAAGACAGGTAACGATTCATTCTTATCCACTTGATCATTCCATGAAGGAACTTCCGTTATCTTGTTAGTGGGATGTTCTTGTTGAGTTCCAAGTTAAGAGATGTACTTATTAGTGATCAAAAGGATGGAAGATCCAATAAAGGAGATGATGCTCGTGAGGCATGGGAAGGTCCTGGTGAACATTAAGGAGCCTTTGATATGCTTTCTTGTAAGGTATATCTTACTGAATCCCAGCTGATTAGTTGCTTCCTCAGTGGATTAAAGGAGGAAATTGAGCCATGCGGTGGGGCCATTCAGACTACAAAACTTGCTAGAGATATATTGGGAATTGCAAGGCTCCGAGAATTTACTTTTCATTCATAAAATGAAAGCAAGAATGTACGAAGAAGGGTTCCTTGGAGGATCAGGCATAGAGCCAACAAGAAAAATCAGAAATTGACAAGAAATTCTCCAAGGGGACAATAAGCAATGATCAGAACAATGAACAAGTTAGAAACAAGGATGGATTTGAAAAAAAAATTCAATGTTCCCATGATTTTCTGGACTTTCAACTTGTCAAGAATTTAGGATGCCCTATAGAGAAGAAGGTAACAGTAGCTTATGGGAATACGGGGACCTGTGAAGGAGTTTTTGCAAATAGCTCAAAGGAGAGTTGCAAGGAAGGGAAATTAGTCCAGATGCCCTTATTATTACTCCCTTGCATAATTGTGACAAAGCTTTTGAAATACATTGACTTGATTCAATCAGTGAGCCATGAGATCTTACTGCTTGTTTTGTCATGGTAAGAGCATGGCAAAGAAGAAATTGGTGAAGATGCTACGTGGACCCAGTTTTAATGATTTTAAATCCTATTATTGTTCTACTGATAATCAACCTTGAGGACAAATAGAAGAGAAGTTAGAAGTTACCAGGGTAGTTAGTTGGAACTGATTGGCTAACCAGTCTCTCAATACAACATATAACTATGTTACAAGGGTTGAGGAGGACAGATATGATGGTTATTGGTCAATAATGATTCTTTTCATCAAAATCTCTCTTTCTCACAGTGTTGTTAAAGGTGCTCGCCTTTGCGCCTTAGGTGCTGAGGCGAGTCACAGAACAACCCCATCGCTTTTTGCGTGAAGGGAGGCAATGTCACTCTGGCACTCGCCTTGGGGTGCCTTGTATGCCTTTCTCAAGCAAAAGGCAAGCACCCTTTTGGCTCTTGGTTGCAATTTTCCAGAGTATTTATTCACAATGTATAAAATGATTGTTACTTTTATCTATATTTTCTTCATATGACACAATTTTTCAAAGTATTAATATGAAGGTTAAGTAAATTCACATATGTCGTTTTATTTATGATTTGTTGTCTATGCATTATACATTTTCACATGGAAGCACCTTGCTTCACTCAAGTATGTGCCTTTCTAGTGCCTTGTGCCTAAGGTGTTTTGCGGGCCTTGAGTGTGCCTTTTCCTCTAACAACACTGCTTTCTCATACCTTGTATCTGTTTTCTTTTTCATAACAGTTTTTAATTTATGAGGGGTCAATCACTGCTTTGAAGAGTAAACATTCAAATGTTGTCTCTTCTTGTAACAAATAGTGATAGAAATGAACTCTATGGTCTTTCTATCACTGTTCATTTTTTAAATCCATTTAATTTGATTTGATGATTCATCAGTTAGCTAAATGACTCAAATATTCAATAAAATTTATACTGAGGATTCATTATCATAAAAATTGATTTATAACATCCAATCACTCTTCGGCCTAAAAACAATTCAATTACTCTTATACTTCCATTATTTCTTCATTTAAAACTCTTTGCATGCTTTTATCAAAGCCAAGCTGTTTGTTGCTGATCATTACACTAGGGAAGTTTCTGGGGCTTAGCATTTGAATAATTTCAATAAACAGATTAGTAGAAATATAAAATGAAAGGGTAAGAATCTGCATGTGATTATAGTTTTTAAATCTTTTTTTTTTTTGTCACAGATATTTTGGCGCAGAGGTGACAATAAGAGAGGAGAATCTTCAGTTACTAAGTAAATCATATGGCCTACACACTTAGGCAGAGAAAGCAAAACACTAACTATGCGGATTCAGACAGTCCTGGAAGTGGTTCAATTGGTTCTGGTACAGACTATTTATCACGGAGAAGTAGCAGACCAAAAAAGAGAAGGAACTCAAGTGTAAATTTGAGTGCAAGGCGTCGACGAGGTCGAACCTCAAAGAGGGCACAGGAAGTACAAAACAAGGAAGCCGGTGATGCTACAAGTTCAAACTTGAAAAATGGAACATTGACAGCTGAACAACAAAGTTCAAACAAAAAAACCATTCTATCATGGTTGATAGATTGCTGTGTTATCAAGAAGGGCGACCGAGTCATATACTCAAATGACATAAAGGAAAGTACAGATAAGAGAGGAAACATTGCCAGAGGTGGAATTCTCTGCTGCTGTTGCCAGAAGGAATATTCTGTGTGGGCCTTTGAGAAACATTGTGGAAGTGATCTTAATCAACCCTATGAACATATTTACCTCCTTGAAAAACAAATCTCTCTTTTGGAGTCCATGATGATTGCTTGGCATGAGAACAGTGAACTGAAACACCAGGAAACACATTTCTTTGTACCCAAGAGAACTGCAGGAGACAAAAATGATTATGCTTGCCCTATTTGCGGAGATGGGGGAGACTTGATCTGCTGTGACAAGTGCCCCTCCGCATTTCATTTAAACTGTTTAAATATGGAGGTAACTAAAATGATTTTCATTTTCTTTTATTAAAAAGGGATTAACGGTGGATTTGGTGGATCTCCTTGACTATTTGGAATTAGTTTTTTGTTTTTGGTTTATATATATATATACATATTTCATGTTCTGAACAAATATTTGATTCATGGTGTTTAAATGGCAGAGGCTTCCTCAAGGTGAATGGTTATGTCCTTATTGTGCTTGCAAACATTGTGGCCTTGGTGATGAAAGGAAGCAATTGATTCCGTGCTTCCAATGTAACAAAAAATGTAATATTTCTTCTCATAACCTATTGAGAATCCTTTTATACGGGTCTTTCAAAGATTTACTGATTTTTTCACATTTCAATTTCCCTCCAATTCGGTATTACTGAAAAGAGATTTTCCATGCTTTTGTAGTTCACTGGGGATGCTTTAAGGAATTTGAGAAAGAAGCTCTTAAGGATGCCTTAGAACTTGACTGTTCCAGTTTATATTGTGGAAGAAGTTGTAGAAAGGTATGTATTCTGTCTATAATGTGTCTGAGGACTCTATTTATCACAAAAGTTTTAGGGGATTTTGTGCGAAACATAGAAAGTTTCACCTCTCAAGAGGCTGAGCTTTTCCATGTATTTTGACATTCTGATGGTTATCTATGTAGGATTGGAAACCCTGCCCTATAAGCTAGTTATTGAGGTGGGAATACAAACTTAAATACCTTGTTGAATATCCCATGCTACTCAATGTGAGACTTGGTATTCTATACTACCAAGTCTCTATCAATCAAACTTCTAGTGGGAGTATTCCATGGCACTTAACTTGACCTCTTGCTATTTAGGACCTTCCATGGGTAGAGCCCTCTTCGGAACGGCCAACAACCAAGCTTTTATACCAATTGATGGGTATCTAAATAGAAGAGGAAACTATACCTTAAAATCTAGCTATTGAAGTGAGAGAACCAACCTACTTAAATACCCTATTAAACATTCCATACTACTCAATGTGGGACTTGGTATCACAGACTACCAATTCTCTATCACATTGTTGCTTTACTTGTTTTAGGTTATAACTCAAACCATGAAATTTTAGAAGGTTCTTTTAGCAATGAAGGAAACTTTGAGGGGGCATGCTCTCCATGAATTACTCTAAACACAATGCCTACCACTTTTGCTATTCTGACTGTGTGCTTTGTGAAAGACATATGAGAAATTGGAGAATTTTATTGGGCTCCGGAACAAACTTGATGAAAGCTACTCTTGGAGAGTTATTCGTAAAATGGAAAGGACGTCAACTGTCACTAAACACCAATATTTTGAAAATAATGCCAAGCTTGCAATTACGCGGAAATTAATGGATGAAGCTTTTGAGACAATAGTTGACAAATACACAGGCGTCAATGTGATTCAAAGTGTACTATACAGTCTTCGGTAAGCACATTGATTGCATTTTTTTTTTTTAATTCAACTCTTCTTTGATTATAAGTATTCTTCTACCACTACTACTTTGGTGTTAACATCCAATTTAATGCCTTCTGATCACTTTCAGTTCTAATGCAATTCAGGTCAAACTTAACCAGGGTTAATTATAGCCGTTTCTATACATTTATACTGGAAAAAGATGATGAGATTGTTTGTGCTGCTACTGTGAGGTATATTTCTTTCCTTTTGCTTGTGAACACACTCTTTTCAACATCTGGCCCTCATCCCTCACTACCCGACGTGTAAATTTTAAATTCTGTATCAGCTGAGATTGAGTTGAATATTTTATTAAACTGCCACAAATCTACAGAATCCATGGGCAGAGGCTTGCAGATATGCCCTTTATAGCCACACACACAGCATTTCTAAGACAAGGATACTGTGCGTACCTTCTGGGAGTGATGGAATCGGTAAGTGATGAACAAGGTCTCATAATCTCCTCTTGTATCTTAATTCAACGAAGTACAGTCATGCAGTGGTTACAGTGAAACCTTCAAACCTCAACTTAAAATTTTCCCAACCTTCCGGCCTTTAGCATTCATGATGAAAGTATTGTTTCTTCTGAAGCTCCTTAATTTTTTTTTTTTTTGGAAAAAATATAACCCCCAACAAGGGTAGATGTTTCATTCTAATTTGAAGCTGTCAGTGGTAATTAAATTGTCGAACTCAGAAAATTAATTGGATTTCTTGCTATGATCTTAAGGTTATGACGGTTCTTTTTTTCATTTCTTTGGCTTAGCCTCATTGCCTAATTTGATTATGATATTGATTTGTTTATATTAGGAATAATGAAACGTTTAGTGCTTCAAGTTTTCTCAATTATTGATTTGGTCCTCAAGCTTAATTTTTATCGATTTAGTCCCTTATATTTTCTTAAATTAATATGTTAGTTCCTTTAGTTTTAAAGCACAAATTTACTCTCAAATTAATTTAATGTATAAAGTATTTTAGTGACTCGACATATATATGTAGCTAAATAAGAACAAGTTAGCCCTCAAATAAGTTTAATTTTTATTAATCTAGTCTCTTATGTTGTGTTATGTTCTTTTGTTTTTTTAAATTGCTAATTCTATTTTTTCCTATCTAAATAATTACATTTTTTTCTATTAATGTACATGGTTGCGATCAATATTTCGTTATTCATGTCACAAAATTTTATTAGTGTTGCCTTCTATTTAAACAATAAGAATCAAATTGATAATTGGGACAAACTTAAATGACCAAATCGATAAAAATTGCACTTTAAGGACCAAATTAATAATTGAGACAAATTTATGGGACTAAAAATTTCATTATCCCTTCATAATATCATTGGAATAGTCTTTATACTGACTTTTTTTAATTATTTTTATTATCAACTTTTCTAGATCCTGTTCAGTCTTGGAGTCGAAAACTTGATAATCCCGTCTATTCAGGAGACCGTCAGCATGTGGGGAATAAAGTTTGGATTCCATGATCCGAGTATAGAGTTGAAAAGAGAAATTACCACCTATAACATTTTGATGTTTTTTCAATCTATAATGCTGCGCAAGGACTTAACCATAAAGAAACCAGAATCAGGTCAATGACTTTCTCCTTCTCTCTCTCCTGCATGTATTATACTTACGAGAAACATATATATATATTTATATATAAGGTTTGTCTTTTTATCTTATATACCTTCATTTCATTCTTTAATTAATTAATGTGGGACTTTTTAATATATTTTAATCTAATATTTCTCCTCCAACTTCTTTTTTCTTTGTCTTGTTTTTTTTCTCTCTCTTCATCTTTTATTCATTCATTCATTTTTCTTCTCTTTCCTGAGCTTGTATTTCTTTTGAGTCTTAGAGATATTGGGGCCACAATTTTCATTTTTCATTTTTTTCTCGTTTTTTTTTATCCTCTTCCCATTTTTTCTTTCTTTTTTTCCTCTCTTGTCCTAGATTGAATGGCTTTGATATCATATTAAACTTCTGAGAAATAGATATATATTAGGTTTTATCTTTCTATCAAAATACTTGAGCCAATTTGATAGGACTTGCCTTAATTTTGTAGCCTGAAGTTCCAACCCCTTATTCTGTCTTCCCTATTATCCTCCCCTGTTACAGATGATGGTGACAAAAAGGAGGAGAGACAAACTGACAATCAGAATGTCCTGGAACCTCAAAATAATCCTGTTGACCGATCCCTTCTAGACCTCAACATGCCCCCTCCTGAAGAATGCATGATGGCTGTGGAAGATGATGTATAGTTCGTAGATAATGTTGCTGATTGAGTAGTTCTCAGCATCAGCACTGAAACCCTCAGTGGCTGGTGTTCATATTCCTGCCTATCTAATTAGAGAAGGTTTAAATAAAGGTTTCTTTTGGTAAAATACCTTTCAAATGTTTAGCGGCAAGTTTTAACTTTTAATTGCGCAAAGATAGATTTGGTTTGGTATGTTTGTTATGACAAATTTCATAACTCTTGTCTATCCAGAAACATATTCCTTTATGTGCTTCTCTGAAAATGGGTTGTGCCATCATATTCCTTTTTGTGATTATGGTCTTAGAAGTGATCGAATCACAACTCCTGAACATTCTTTTGCTGATTTGCATTTTAATTTAGAATTAGTGATTATGGCTGGATGACATCTGTGTAGGTCAGCTCGACTATTCATATTCATCTTTTTTCATTAAAAAAAAAAATCATTGTTGATCAACTAATTATTGTCCTATCGTCACATGGAGCCTTCATATAGTTTCTTTTTGTTCATCAAGTAGTCTTTACAATCAATGACACTCATACCTTATGCAACAATTCAATACTCTCTTATTGCTTGTTGCTACATATTGTTTGTTGCTTCATCTAATATGTGAGCGATCAGGTTGTGCAATGTGTGTGTTAAATTTCCTATCGGTTAAGGGTCCAACCTAGTCTTTATTTCATCTATATTATCATGGGAGTCTACAATGTCAACCTAGATGATAAAAATTTAAATTTTATCTTCTGAATAAAAACAAAAATTAGTGCACAATGTGCAGTTAACTTGCCCCTTGAATATTTTAAAGTTCCTTCATTGCCTTAGTAAATTTGTTGGTAAGAAAACCCGTAGCAAATTTGGTTAACCAAACCCTGGATATACCCATCTAGGTTTACCCTTAGTGATCCTATTAGAATGAGCTGATAAGGAGATTTACCTTCATATTGATTGAGCTAATAAGCGAATGATTTTGAAAATGTTCTTTTTAAATAATGGTGATAGCTTCAATATAATGGCACTAATTATTAATTTACCCACACTTTTTGTCTAAACAAAGATTCCCATTGTGATCAATTGATTCATCAATATCAAGTTTGACTCAGCCAAGTTTAAGTGGTAACCACCTGAAGTGTATATCCTCTCTATTTTGGAGCCAGATGTTCGTCTTCCAATTTTTGGTCATCAAGGATGCTGTGAGTTGTAATAGAGCAATGTCACCCTCAATTGTGTCCTCATCATAGTAGAGTTTTTAGCATCAGGCCATCCCTATATTCCAACGAACGTGAGCGAACGTACACCCTAATAAACTGCAGAGTTCTAGTTCTCGTTCTGAGGTTATGACTCTTTAATTTATCTGTGTCAAAAATAAATTATAAAAAATAATACTTTTTGTTTCAAACTTGACACAAAATGCAAATCCACCCTCTAATTTTTTTTATGAAAAAAAAAAAACTACACAATCCCTAATAGTTAACTAATTCATGATCTACTAGTAATGTTATTTAAAATATTAAATTTTTAAAAATATTCACATTTTTTTATTTATATTTTCATTAAATACTCTATATAAAAATCTTAATAATAGTAATTAAAATTTTAATGTATGATTTTTTTAAAAAAATAATAAATAAAGTAGGGGTGTAATTGAAAAAACAAGTATAAAAACTATCCAATGTCCTATATTTTAAACTTGACAAGTTTTCTAAAAAATATCTTATATTATAATTTAAAGGAAGTATCTCAATAACGATTTCCATATTCATCGAAAGGCACGTGACATGGAAGGAGGTCATCAAAAAAAATGAAACTTGCGAGGAAACCCGCAAATTTCAATTATATAACAACATCGTTTAAATGTAGTCAAAAAAGTAATTAATTGATAAATTATGATAGGAAATACATGAATAAGATGCTACACCAAGCAAAATGCATAGGGAAGATGATGGTCTGAAGTCAACCCCTTCAAAGTTGAGCAGTTTGCTTCTAGTCTTCGATTTTTGCCGCCATCAGATCCCTCGTTTCTGAAACTATCTAGAATTATGCTGCAGTTGTTCACAGTGGGGGCATCAAGAAGGCCATGATTCCAGAGTTTGATCATGAATGGAGTTGGATTTCCTCTGAGGAGGATGCACCGTAGATCTAAACTATTAAATTAAATTTAATAATTTAGATTTGATAATTTTTAAAAGTATAGATTTAATTTATATGGTTCAAATTTGCAGTGGAAGGAAAACACAATGCAAAGAAGCTGACCCCACCATGAATAGCCTCTAACACCTGAATCAAGAATATTCAACTTGACCTCAGAATTCCCAGAATAGGCTTGTAGCACTAGCAAGCAAAAGCCAAAGAAAAAAATAAATAAATAAATAACTAGAATCCCCCATGCGATGCACTGGGAAAGATTTCATCACATGTAAAAGGAAATATTTTAATTTGTAAAATAATAATAGAGTGTATATTAAAAGAAAACTAATTAAATTTGTCATGCGAACAACCAAATCAAATTATTATAATGAATTAAATAAATTAAAAATTATTCAATCGATCAGTGGGTGATAAAAAGAGAAGCAGAATGTAAATCTCAACCTAGTGATAAAACAAAAATAAAAAAGATTTAGTCCAAGGATTAAAAAAGCAAATAAATCAACAGCAAATAAATAAATAAATAAATCGCAAATCAAAGAGAACCTTGAATATATAACCACATATCAATATAAAATTCCCATCAATGACATCAATACATGAAAGTAAAATCACAAACCAAATCCTAGCCTTAAATGACTTGATTAAAGAGGTGTTCACTCTTTATATTCCTGGCTGTGATCAAATTGATAGCTTGGACTTGGAGATAGTACAATGTAACGTTAAAATGCATAAATGCCTTGTCCCAGCAAAGTCTGAATCCCATAGCAATTACTTTAATTTCTGATATCACCGGTGAAAGTGGCTCAATTTTATGATAGAAACTTGCGATCCATTTATTTTTTGTTTCCCACTACCCCTCCACATGTACTAATCCTCCTCCATTCACTAAGCCTTTTAGTCCCTTGTAAACAAATTCAATGGCAGAATCCAGCCGCACATCAAAACTCTTCTCCCCACAATTCTTTAGTTCAAAGCGTCCTTCATTCAATAGTCTTGCTGAGCTCTGAAGAAATCTTCTCCCACATAGGTGCAACTCAGGTTTTCCAAATCAATTGACAATCATACCTTTAAACAAAATCAGAATCCCCTCTCCATACACTTCCTAAATCATTACATGTTCATGGCATAAAATTTCAAAGAAATGGAATCTTTACCAAAGGTGCATCCAAAATTTAAAAATTAGTAATGCAACGATACAATTGAATGTAGACAAGGAAACCTGTGATGACAAAAATAAAAACTGTAGTCATGCATTTGCAGTAAATTCTAAAGCTATGATTATCCTAACAGATCAAAAGAAGGGGTTGTGCCCAAAATATTTTTTCTTCAGGAAAGAAAAAAAGGTAATTGCACTTTAAACCACCATATCAGCAACCAAACATGAGATGTTTGCTCCCAATGTCTTAATAACTCTCATCCAAATCCAGAACGTGCTCAGGCGCAACGCATTCCTAAATACCAAGTCAAGCCCAACTATTGGTTGCAGTTTTAAGCAGGTATCAAGTGCTGGCAAGACTAAATTTTGCTTCCAACTCAACTTAAATGGCATGAGATCCAACCGAAGAGCCATAACTCCAACCAATCTTATTTTAAAACTCCATGATCGTTTTATTCCCACTACAATTTTTTGTCAATTATTATTAATCATTCATTCAAATATTAATGACTTTTCCATATCATAAGTATATAATTATCCTCAACTTTAGCTATTTTTAAATACGTATGCCTTATTCCTTTTATAAAAAAATCTGACATAAGTAACCAAACATCTAACCCAATCACAGTCCATTACTACTTGGAGCTAGAAAGAGATCATGAGCATATCACCTCAACCTGAATTCCAAAGGAATGATCTTCACAATAACCAGCTTCATTACTAACAACCATGACTTCCTGTAGATAGGTCAAATTTCCATAACAAACAACCATGCCTTCCTGTAAATAGGTCAAATTTCCATAACAATAATTAATACTCTGCAGGTTCGTGAACACTTAGTCCATTAAGATCTAGAAATGTATGTTAGAATCACATACTGTAAAGAGTTAAACAAATTATGGCTCATTTTAAAAGGAGGATGGCCCTTCCCATTTGAACTTGTTGCTCTAATTTCCATTATTTCCCTCACTTTGTTCTCAAAAATCAACTAAATTCCTAATTCGCAAAGCCCATCTCCAAACATGATCATCTATAAAACTGAACAGAAGAATAGTTGTTGAAAAATAATTATTTTAGCTTGCTACAAGATATATTGAAGGGACCATCAAAAAGCTTTAAAGGTAGTCATAATTAACAAATTAGTTATACGCATGGCTAACCTGATCTAAATAAACCACATATGGTAAAATTTATGCTATTTATCAGTTTCACATTATCACTTTGATAGCTTACAACAACTTTATCATAATTGAACTTTGAAGTGGGAGTTTAGAATTTTGTATCAATAGCAATAATTTCTCAAACTTGCAATCCTTCCTGGCCAAACATGGAAATTATATAGGTTCTTTACAACAGGGGAATTGGAAAAGGCAGAGGTTTTTGCATTTGTTAACATTATTAGTCTCAAACATTGTAATGCAGTGATAAAAAACCCTCATGCGATTGCAAGTATCTCTATCTCTACATATATTGCTCAAGAACCCATGTATCCTGAAACTGAAGCACAATCACATTGGAAAGCAAGGATGACAAAATATAGCTTGTTCATGCCCTTGGATCATCACAAACCAAGGTAATCAAACAAAAGAACTGTATGACATAAAAAGGCATATAGAAATAAGACACAAACATAAGCAAACATTTAAATACCATAAACACAATGTTAAGAAAGTCACTTTCAGGTCCAAGCACACAACAGATTAATAAACACTATGCTCAAAGAAACTTTAGAACTTAATAAATACTGTGCTCACTTGCAGACCAAAATATATTCCAAATCTTGCCTGAAAACCGATTAAGGATTATGTACGTGCCCGAGCTATTTTAAATCATTTGAACATCTATCAGAATATACTGTGCAATTAGATGTCCAGGAACTTACTGTTCAGAGGAATGCCCAGCGTTCATGAGTCTCACACTGGCATTCTATGCTGTCCAACATAGCAGGCACAGTTGACGTGTGACGCCTCAACTGCAAAGGCTAATCGGATAATCAGTTTGAAGGTTAGATTCAACCAGACTTCTAAAGCCATTCTTGAAATGCATTACTTTTCCTGTGTTGAAAATTCTTTAAAGGCACCGTCGACTTGATCAGTGGATAAGTAGTTGATAAGCATTTCTGTGGAGGAAGCATCCACAGTGAAACCTCTCTCTTTCATTATTTCAAGGTATTCCATTGTTTTTGAAGCCTCTTTTTTCAGAAGTAGTCCTTGGAAAAATATATTATAAGTACAACTATTGGGCAAGCAGCCATTCTCTTCCATAGTTGCCAATAGGTTTTCAGCCTCATCCAGTAGCCCTTCTTTACAAAAACCTTTAATCATTATAGTATAAGCATAAACATCCAACTGCAATCCTTTGGCGGGCAAACTAGAAAAGAGGTCCCGTGCAGCATTGAGTTTTCCAGAACTGCACATTCCATCAAGCATAATACAGTAGATCACATAATCAAGATCTAAATTTCTCTTCTCCAATGAATCAAATAGTGATATTGCTTCAGAATGAAGCTGGCATTTCCATAGTCCATCCAACATTACAGCACAAGTCTTGAGATCAGGAATTTGGCCATATTTGTGCATGTTAAAAAATAATTCTTTAGCAACAAGTGGTCTCCCTGCTTGGCAAAGCCCACTGATAAGAGTAGTCCAAGTGACAACATCTGGAATAAATCCTTTACCAATCATTTCATCCAAGAGATGCATCGCCTTATCAATATCTCCTCCTTTACACCATCCATGAATCAATGAAGTATAAGTTACAATGTCTGGTAAACAGCACCTGTTAATCATCACATTAAATACTTTCATGGCCTCATTCATTTGATCTCGCAGTCGATACCCATCCATCAATAAATTATAAACAACAACATCAGGCTCCTCGCCAAGATGAATCATGAAACCCATTATGGCTTTAGCACCCATAATCATTCCCTCTCTGCAAAACGCATCTGCTAAAATACTGAATGTTTGTGCATCTGGCACAATTCCCCCTGCCTCATCTTATTAAATACTGCAATGGCCTCTTTCAACTTAGCACAATTACAAAGACCATGAATTAAGCAGGTGAAGGTGACATGATTAGGTTGAATACCTTTGATAATCATTTCCGAACATAAATTTAAAGCCTCAGATACCAATCCATCCTTGCACAAACTATCGATAACTGTACTGTAAACTACAACATTTGGTATCCCAATTCTTTCTTCCATCGTCCTTAGACACTTGATAGCAGCGTATGTGTCACCAATCTTGCATAATCCATTTATTATCACTCCAAAGGTTTGAATGTCAGATTTGTACCCGACCTTTTCCATATATTCAAACAACCGTATTGCACGAACCACGCAGCCTTCTTCACAAAGTCCATTAATTAGAGTATTAAATGTCACTACATTGGGCTCCAAACCAACTTTGAACATAGTCCCCAAAACTGAGAACCCACAATCTGTCTGCTTTAGATGGCAAAAACAATTTATCGCAATGCTAAAAGTACAGACATCAGCTTTTACGCCTAAAGAATACATGTCTTTAATAAATAAAATCGCCGTTGTATAATGCCTCATCTTCACAATCACCCCAATCAATAAGGTAAAGTCAAAAACAGATGGCAAAGGCTTCATCCTAACCATCGTGTGAAAAAAATCTACGGCAGTATCAACATTTTTCAATTGTCCGGACCTGCACTGATTTCTCATAAAACTTAAGAACTGAGAGTCGGTTTCTGTTGCATTAACTGTGGTGCAATAAGTTGGAGAACAATAAGAGATGATTACAGATGGAAAGTAAAAGGAACGATATAATAGAGAAACGGGAGTTCTGGAATAAGCAGTAACACCCGTCTCGTGAAGAATAAGAGGAAGCCAAGAAAAGGAAGCTGTTCTTCGTACAATGGAATTAGACATCAGCTATGGGTCTTACAATACGATAGGGTTAAAACTCAGGGCTAGAGACGAGAGGCAAAGAGGGTGAGTTGCGATGATCCTCCGTTTCGCTTCCGAAGCATCGCAAGGATCAAAATTGAAAAGAAAATTGCTGGGCGATAATCGTCGAACTGGAACCGTACCTTCATGTCTCCGCACTTATTCTAGAGTCTTCAGGGTTGGTCGCTCATTCCTTGACACCCATCGGCATGAGGGATGCATTTTGATCCGAAGAAAAAAGGCGACTTGGTCTTGCAAGCCGGTGGCTCTGGAATTGTGCTCCAAATTCTTCAAACCAAAGAGTCTCAACTCTCACGACAGAAAGCGGCCGGTGAAACTTGAGTTGAAAATAGTCAAAATAAAACAGTTCTTGAGACTGAGACTGCACCGAAGGCGGGTTTCGGCTGGGTTTAGCTTGAAGACGCAAAACTTGGTTTGCTTCTTGAAAGTCGAAGGTAATTTATTTTTATTGAAAACAAATTTATTACTCCTTCTCCACGCAGACAATCGGTAGGGTGATCACGGGTCAAATTGGACTGGGACGATCATCAACTCAAGCCTGGCCCAATCACGTACCAGGAGTTTTGGAACCCGGAGTCCAGCTTTTGTAACTGTCAAAGGACTTTTTATTCCGGCAAAAATATTTGTCAGCATTTTGAAGCATCTATATTGTTTTTAATTAAGATTTAACCCATAATTCAAAATGTTACACGATCTAATCTCACTGTTAATATAAAAATTTTGTTAGTAGGTAATGTATAAATACTTTTATAAGTGCTTTTTAAATTTGAAGACATATCTTGACTTTGATAAATCTTAGAACCTACCTCATACTTTTTTTTTGCATATAAAAAGATTAAGATTTTTAATTATTTTTAAGTTGAAAGTAAGTAGATAGTATTTATAGATGTACATACAGAGACACATGCTAACGTTGGACCTCGTTGGGCTGAATTGTCTTCTAGTGTCGCCTGGCTAAAGGGACCGTAATTGCTCAATGTTTGAAAATAGCATATTTCAGGATTGACAACAGTGGAATTGGAAAAAAGAAGAGGTTTTGCATGTGTCACCGTTATTAGTCTCAGACATTGTAATGAAGTGATGGACAATCCTCATGCAACTGCAAGTATCTCTACATATATTGCTCCTGAAACTGAAGCACAATCACATTGAAAAGCAAGGATGACAAAATATAGCTTGTCTATGCTCTTGGATCATCAAATTGGACGGCAAAAAATTATTTGACTTTGCCACCACTCAAATAAAAGAATACACATAGAAATAAGACACAAACATAAGCAAACATTTAAATACTATAAATACGATGTTAAGAAAGTCATTTTCAAGTCCAAGCATGCAGTAGATTAATCTTGTCCAAAGAAACTTTTGAACTTGATAAACACCATGGCTCCCCCACAACCCAAAATATATTCTAGATCTTGCCATGGACCTAAAGGCCTTTTTGCCCTCTCCGCACATAATCTTTGGTTTATAACTTGTTTCTCTCTTGCTTATTGAAATGGAACAAAATTTTATTTGATAAGAATCTTTTAGGAGTGATGCAATGAAGCAAGGAATAAATATCTGAATTTATTTAGAATAACAATTATTTTGTTGGACATTAGTTGTTGATCTTTGGACAGTACATCAATAGAATATATGAACAATGATGTTTGCCATTCAATAAGATAATTAAAAAAAAATATAACTTTAAATTCATATACTTTACTCGTATTTTATTATTAATTTTTATATTTTTTTAATGTTTTTTCTTATACTTTTATTTTTTATTATTTTAAATCCCTCCATAAACAAAGTACAAAGATTGAAGGAACTTAAAATAATAAAAAAATAAAAGTATAAGAAAGCCAAAAAAATTTAAAAAAAAAATATAAGAATTACTAACAAAACACGAGTAAAATATAAAAATTTAAAATTATATTTTTTAAAAAATCAATTACGCGAATCTAATCAACTTCCAAATCAACCATCACGTGGATCACTACATATATCAGTAGGACCACAGCGAGGAAGGACGTGCTTGCTAGAAAAGGCGCCCGACATGGAAGGAAGTCAACAAAAAGATTAAGGTTGCGAGGGAACCCCAAATTTCAATTAGATAACAAAATGATACAATAAATCGTTTAAATGTAGTCGAAAAAATAATTAATTAATAAATTATGATAGGAAATACATGAATAAGATGTTACAATCAAGCAAAATACAAAGTTGAAGCAGTTTGCTTCAGGTCTTCAATTTTTGCCGCCATCAGACCCCTCGTTTCTGAAACTATCTAAAATGATACTACAGTTGTTCATGGTAGGAGCATCAAGAAGGCCATGATTCCAAAGTTTGATCATGAATAACCTCCAACACCTGAATCAAGAATATTCAACTAAAACTCAGAATTCCTAGAATAGATTAGTAGAGCTAGCAAGCAACAACCAAAGCAAAAATAAATGAATAATACTCCCTTCATCCTAGTTTACAAGATATTTTTGAACAAAATTACGCATACCAATAAAGTTCATCAAATACCTTTAACAACCTTACTATTTCAAAACAAAAATATAAATTTTCAAAAATGCCCAATATAACCTTAATTGTGAAACATTAAATAGAGAGAAAGAAAATATGACAAAGAGGGAAGGGTAATATTGGAACAAGAATAATTAATGAAACTTTGTTTTGTCAATGTGTCTTATATTTTGAAATATTGAATCACCTCTAAAATTGAGGAGGAGGAGTAAATGGTTAGGCACTTCAACTTTTGGTCTCATACGAGTGCAGAAAAGACTTGTTACTAAACATTATAAATCAGAAATAGATAATACAACCAGCAAAAGAGAACTATGTATGAATTAAGGTAGGTCCGTTTGGTATCATCATTGAATTGAAAGTTTGCAAGTGGAAATAGAATTGGAAGCTAAAATTCTGCTTGCTTGGTATTAATCAATTCAAACCAAACATCCCCTGAAGGAAATATTAATCAATTCAAGCAGGAAAAGCAACAGCTGTACCAAAATAGAGTGGGAGATGAGATCAACTCCTTCCCATGAAGCTTGGAGAAGGCCTCACAGGCCCAGGGAACATGACCATCTGCCAGCACGCTGCCGCAATGAAAAGAACACATGAAATAAGCACTAAGTACGCGCATGATACGGATCATTAATTTCACTCTACATGCGAGAACCAGCAAGCAAACTAGGGTTACTGATAGGAAGAAGAGGAACAAATAAGAACAGAAAATACAAGCATCTTAATAGGGGAAGCAGTAGTCACCTTTGCTTCCTCACAAAAGAATTCCATAGATGCATAAGCTGCTTTTCATCTTTGGAAACGTCAACAAAATCATCAAGCATCTGCAACATGACAGTTTGATTTTAGGTTTTGGGGACTTATCTGACAAAGTTCATCAAAAGGCCAAGAGCAAAGCTGCAAAGAACCGGGAGGAGCAACACAACATGGAGGGGGAGCCGAAGATTTATGTGAAAAATGGTGGCATATCTTCAATAAGTTTTTTAGTCATTGTGAGTCCAAGTGTTAAGGAAAACTGATGGAGGCCGAGGTAGTATGAAATGCCCTAACATTACAATGAGTAGCATCTGATGCTTAAAGTAGGTCGGTCCCCTTCCCTCACAAAGATAAAACAGCTAAATTTTAGGGGGAGAGTGCCGTGCCCCACTTGAGAACCTTCAATAGCTATCAAAGTTTGTGGTTGACAGTATGGGATGCCTAGTTCCCACCTTAAGTAGGATGAGATGCTCAATGGGTATTTAAATGGATTGGTTTTCTCCTCTCAATGACTAATTTTCAAGAGGGGACTCCAATTCCACTTGAGTATCTATTAAAAAAAAACAAAAGAAAAAAACATAATTCTGTCCACGAAATGTTCCTTATAGTGGCATGTCTAATGCCCGATAATAATTTCAAGGAAAAAACTTACATACTTGACCTTATATATTTAATTGACTTGTTTTGATTTGATTGAATAAAAATATATTAAGCATATAAGGTTAAGCACCTAAGTCTTGCCCTAATTTCAATTTGATAAAAGAATGAGGAAAAGTAAATGAAAAGTAAACAGAAATTTAAAATGTTTTTCAGCTTACTCTTCGATCTTCAAGATCTGCAATGTCATCATCAACCTCATCTTCACTGTCCTGATCTGATAACACTTGTTCCAGTGCCATAGGCTACAATACCATAGAGCAGAATAAGATGGGGAAAGGGGAAACAAACTGAATCACTGAAAAAGCATTTAATATTAAAAGATAACAACAACAAAAACAAGCCTTATCTCACTAGCATTTAACATTAAACATATAGAATCAATCCTATTTCATTTGAAAAAGATGCCGCATTTTATAAAGCTAGATTCACATAGAGGGAAACTACTTAGGAGTAGAATTCAATTAGAAACGGTGCTAAACGGAGTGAACAAAGTATCTGGTAAACCCAACTGCTTGAACATCAAAACATCACATAGCAAGTCTCTCTACCATGCAAGAAAATGAAACACCGTTTCAAAAATAAATTAACTAGCCAAGGGATGGGTAGGACATGAAAAAAAAATTCAAAGAGATCTTAGAAAACTAGTCACCTGAACTCTGTGAGAGTGAAAGAACTGTCTTTTCTGCAGGAGCAAACGGCTGGAGAAGCAGAAGTTTATAGGAAAAATTAAATAAACACGCTCATTAAGGCATTCTTGATAAGGAGAACAAGAATTATTGCTATGAATAATCTCTTTCAAGCCAATCATATGGTAGAGGGACTATATGATTTAAAGACAATCTTCATATTTTTTTCCATCTGAGGGTTGATACCAATGGTAACAAAAACATTGCATAACCATTTTTTTTATATGCAAAAAAAGAACAATATTTTACTTTCTAACCGGTGAGTATAATATAGACATTACATAGAACCAGGCTGACAGGTAAGTAAATATGCAAGAACATTTGGTTTTGGGAGAAAATACGCTTCAACCATAAGAACTGACAGAATGTACCTAAGCAATTGTTTGTTACATGTTAAATAAAGAGGAAAATATTTTTTTATCAAACAAACAGAAAGCTTTTTTTCTTTTGGTGAAAACAGAAAAAGGTTAACAACATTAAAACTCAATAACTGCAAATATTTATAGACAGAGTTCAAGTCTTCGCAAAAAACTGAATATCATTCTTAAAAAACTAAGATACACATATAAAAAACAAAAATGCAGACAGTAGGTTTTATGAGAATACTTTCTTGAGTCTGATCGATCCACGTTCATCTTCCTAGTCTTGGCAGGCAAAGCTGCTTCACATCTAGATACTGATTTATTACACTCAGGGTCCCTAGAAGTTTGGGGCATGGCAATTGGAACACCTGGAACGTTGAAACTAGAAGCAACATGCTCCAAGTAATCAGTAGTACCACTACCAGGATGATAAGGACCATAGTTTTCTCCATCCTGTGTTCCATTCTGCAATTCTTTCTGACTGGGAGATGTCTTGGACAAGTTCCCACCTTTGCCGGACAGGGTGTCTACATAAAACTAAAATATCAGTCTAACCTTCACATAAATACCTTGATAAAAAAATTATAGGAAAAATACAAATTCATAAATTGCCTGCCTACATGCTACAGAAAAACAGTAATTAGATTGGTTAATTTGCATCAATTTATAGAGGGGGAAGGCAACTAATAACTGCATTCTATCAATACTATAGTTGTTGTGAATGCCAACACACATATTATCTATGTTTGATGCACCATCGCTGCCTACATGTTAGCATGAAATATAATACAAAGGTGTCAAGTGAAAGAGAAACTAATGAAGCCACCACAAGCAATTATGATATTGTAGCTAAGGAAATTGTGGGATGCTGAATATCAAGGTTGCACATAATACGCTATTTGCAAGAGGCAGGTATTTCATGCTTCCCATCTGTAAGGTCTCCAATACTGCTTTGATAGTCTCCCACTAATTTAATCTCTTTTTCAGTAGGCCAAAGATTTGAAGTAGAGTGCAAAAGTTTCTACTTTCAAGTCACTAGGTATCTCAGGACCAGATCCGTTCTTAACACTTGGAAGAGCACAACTACTCACAACTAGATGATAGTATCTAATAGTTAAAGTAGGCACCCAAATACAATTATTACCATGGTACTTGTCTTGACAACCATTCTGTATGCCTTCTGTAGCCAGCATGTGTGAATCCAACTCCAGAAACTGTATGTTAGCACACTTATCATTTTGAATAGAATCTTTGTGTATACGTCGTCGATGCCTTGCACTGTACAGTTTGTTGTTAATTCAACATTTCAAAGTCAATAATCTCACTCAAAATTATATGAATTGGCCGGTAACTGCTTTGAATTTAGATACACAACCAACCAGAAGAAGAAGGTTTGTGACTGTGGATTTATTCCATCAGTGACATTCTGCAAATGGATAAATGTCAATAGAAAGGTTAGTTAGCACATAACACATTCTTTTCAAATGAAAATATTTTCACATCGGCTGACCAAATGTTATTTTCATAGCTAGCTCAAAGTAAGGCCAAAAATTATTGCAGAATTCGAAAGTAAATACCTAGCAAATTTAAGACAAATTATTAGTAAAAAGCTGCCCAGCATAACAGATTGTGCATGTGAATATATACACTCGCTTAAATACATTGTTCATCCTTTTCCCAATGCCCATAAGAACAAATTTAAGTAATGGTTCCCGAAAAAAGGTGAGACTAACACAATATAAATCCAATGCTAGCATACAAGGTATCAAGATGCCATTCTTAAGGTAAGGCTATTAACAAAGCTTTAGTTGTACAAAACAAATATGTGGATGGATATTCCTCAAATATAACAATTATAAAACCATGATCAATACAACAATAACAAGTTTTATCCCACCAATTAAGATCAGTTACATAGATTGCCCAACAGCATTAGGCTCTATCAAAAACTAACTCTTCAAGTATATCATTCACCAACGAATCCCATTCGACAACTTCCATAACTGTTCTTTTTGGTCTCACTCTACATCTTTTCATAGAACTAAAAACCATGATCAACACCAAAAGATGAAAACCAAGAAAACCCAATAGAAGCAATCAGAACAAGCTAAGCTAACTAAAAGCACTCTTCCTGACTATTACTGCAGAAACTAGATTCTAGTGGAACAACATATTATGAATCCATCAGGAGGATGCACTCTCTGCCACCCTACTTAAGAAAATGAACCAAGTTTTCACAGTCCTAGATCCCAACTAGTTGCTTGTGATTAACATTAAATTTGTGTATCAATCCCTAAGGAAACCAACCATTCCCATACTTCAAAACTAAATAGAATCTGACCTCTGATCTCAATATATCACTCTTCACAGAGACGTTCACTGCTTGATAGTCTTCAGTCACCTACAAAATAAAGCTAAGTAAGGTTTAAAATCTATCCAATAAATTAGTAAATAAACAATGACTTTATAGTTAGAGTAGCAAACCCAAAATTCAAAGTTGAAGAGATCATGTGATGCACAAAGATGAAATCGCAAGCCCTGCACAAAACAAGCCATAGTTAGTTTTGCCCCTTCAAATGATACACCAATGCTGAAATTAATTGCCTTTTTCCACCACAGGAACGTTTTCACAATCATTCTACAAACCAGGATAAATGAATTAACAAACAGTGATAACCTCCTCCTTCCTAATCTTCAAACTATAAATGGAATAAATAATACAGGAATACAGCTTACAGTATAAACTACATACCTTAAAGCTCGCACATTGCATCAAGCAAAATGGACAAGAAAAGTCCTCAGTCACTGCACTTGAAAAGAGATGGGAAAATCTAATCAGTGTTGCCCAAATCTAATCCCTCCAAGTAATAGAAGAATGCAATTCTCCTCTACAAAACTTTCAGCCACATGCAACCACAACATCAGTACCCAATAACAAAGACAAAAATGATAAGTTGCTGACAAACTAGTTCAATTGCAGTTCAGAAAATATACTTATTGGAGGCAGTGATAAGATGTAATGCAACATTAAACCTAATAAAAGAAAACAAGCAATATCCATACCTTCAGTCTTTCGAATTGCGTTGTAACAGTCCCTATAATTGAAGATCACAATTCCAGCTCTTAACCTACACATTAGCATAAAAAGAAATGAGAAAATTTATAAAAACATAGAAGAAAAGATAATACTTGATTTACCAGACGCTCTTTCATTAATAATACATACATTAACGAGTCATTGACATTAACTCATCACCAGCAAAAGATATACTTAGAGTAAAAGTAGTAAGAAGGAATAGGCACCTCTTTCTATGCCTTGCTCGTAATTTGTAGTGCAGACATCTCCTAAGAAATGAAGGCTGCTATGAAGATTAATGACAAATCAGAAAAATGAAAGTCCTGAGAAAATTATATGGATAATTCTTGAAGATGAACAACAGCATCTACGCAAGTAAAAAGAGCAATGTGCCAAGGAGAGGTATCTAGAATAAGTTAAAGGATAAATTTTGGACTCTAAAACTTCATGTCAAGAGAATATACCAAAATGAAAATATAGGGCCACCTTCACCAGTCTAATAGTAGGGATGCCAAACAACCATATCTATTTTAATAAAACGCATCCAAAGTACGCTAATAATGTCAATACAATGTTTGAAGTTGTTAGCCAGAGCTTATAAATCTAAGTAGTCAAAGACAATATGCACAAGAAAAAGAAGTAAAGGATTCCGTCCCTCAATGTGAGGCATTCTTTCTAATAATGCCGGTTAAAAGTAGCATTCCTATTGTCCCAACATAAATTATAATCAGCAAGTAGAACGCATTATATTACATTATGAAGAGAACGGCGGTAGAGAATATTGTACAGTTCAACAGGCTTGCAATAAATAAGAAGACTCTCATCAGCTGCAGTGTCTTCCTCAGTAGAATGATGTACAGGAGAATTTTGACGGCACATGTCGTCTTCCTTCAAAAGAATTATAACCTGCAGAACCTTATATATATTGACATGAGAACAAGTGCACCTTAATGCCTCGTGCATATCCCCACACACTTGTCCCAGAGTTTCGGTCAATTATCAAAAGAAAAATACCCCGTAGCCTATTGCGAAGGCTACATTAATTCATAGGATTGTTCACCAAAAACACTGAGTAACAATTCAAATGAAAAGAAAAAGATAAACACAACGAAATATTTGGTGTTGAAGAATGAAAGTTTCGGTTTTGCCTGTTCCTGATCACAAAATAGTCCTGGTCAACCCTCCCGAACATTCAAATTAAGAATTCTAAGATCAGCTGATCCTTCTACTTCCAGGTATATTTCGAAAGAAGAAAAGGCGGAAAAAGAAAAAACGCAGGAGAGAGACTTACAGCATGAAACGAGGAGACATTAAACGCCGATGAGTTGTTAGTCCTCCATGTTGGGATCTCGAGGAGCAGAACAAGAGACTCAGTCGTTCTCGTTCAAGACTTTCAAGTCGCGAGGCCTAAAGCTAGACGACAACCCAGTCCAAGCAAAGGATAGTGGGCTGGAATTTGTGGGCCATCAGGATGGGCTTCATGTGGCCCATATTACTATCTCGAAAGGCCGCATCTTTCTTTCAAAAGTAGTCTTCAAATTTATATCGTACAATGACATATCAATCAAATTCTGGCCCAAAAGAAGGAGTGAAGGACATATCAATCAAATTATTGATCAAATCATATTCATTTCCAGTTTTCGATAGAAATGATGAATATTAATTAAGTGCATAAGAGGAAAACTGGAATCATTTTTTAGATGTAAATTATATTATTTAACTGTTTTCTTGGCAAAATAGGGATATATCAGACCTTTTTTTTTTTGGAGTGAAAACTGGATACTTCATTCAATAAAGAATGTGTCAAAAAGAATATACAAGTGTAGAAGGAACTAAAAAGCAAAAATTAGAGGCCACCCCAATCAAGTTACGAGAGTTTGGTCATGCAAGTTAAAATCATTAGTAAAACTAAAAGCTAACTTATTTAAGTATTCAACCATCCTATTGTTATCTCTCAACAAAAAATGAAATCAAACATCTCAATCTCTATTCAAAAGATTCTTAATTGAATCAAGAATACATTAAAAAAAGATGATAATTATGATTGTCCTTTGTGATTGTAGAAATGGTATTTGCACAATCACAAAAATCTATACAATCCTAAAACCTTTCTTTCTTGAAAATATCCTAAATTTCAAAAATAGTACACCGTACTTTGCCCAATTTGCAGTTGAAGCCCAAAATCCAATCACCATTGGTAGGTTTCATCTCCTATGGTATGGATCTAACTTGGGAGGCAGTGCAAACTGACCTTCGCTGCACTTACTGGTTTGTAAAATTGCAACTTTACTCCACCTCTCAACAAGAAGACAGTTGTTCGCTCCAGATCCTTATGGTCACTGAATATTTATTTTCTATGACTTATGTAGTAATTTAATATTTATTTCTTTGCTCGTTTTATTCTAAATGTTGTTCGACTTTTCTTTTAAAAAAATATATGTAATGTTTGCATTGATAGATTTAAATTTAAAATATACATTTAAAATATCACATTTTAAATTTATGTATTTAAAATTCTTTGTTAGAATAGTTTAAGTAACAAAGATTATTAATATTAGGTAGTGTTTTGAGGATGTCTATAGAGATTTGAAATAACAAAGACTTAAAAATAATTCAAATTATAAAGGAATTAAGATAAAAATCAAATTCTAAATCCATAAATTTTTGAGTGCCCAAATACATCTAAAATAGCATAGGTGAATTTATCATATATCAAATTAATAACTTACTGGGAGAATGACATATACATGTCAAAATGATCAATTAATTCAACTTAAATCTTAAATATCAAACTTCAAAAATTTACAAGTTTGATTTTTAATTTTACAACTTTATTGTCATAAATTCGTAATTTATTTGTTAAATTTTAATATGATTGAAAAATAAATAAATTTATTTTCTTTATTAATTTAGAACACAAGTTGCAAACTCATTATAATGAAATTGCGAATTTGATAATTAAACTTGTAAATTTTTAAAATTTAATACTTGAAACTTAAATTAAATTAATTGATTCCTTTAAGACATATCTATCATTCTCCCTAACTTAATACCCAACTCTAGTTAAATCAAATTCAACATTAACAGCTCAGTTAACTTTAATGAAGTTATCTCTCATGGGGATGTAATATGTGATGACAGCTAAAAAAATTTAATAAAAAATTTCTCTAAATATCTTAAGGTCACATTTGGTTACAAAAATTTTAGCCTATGAAATGATAATCATATCTCCTTTCCAACCTTTATCTATGTTTGATTGTTTATAAGAGACATGAAGTGATCTTTTTCAAGAATATGAATTGCCATATTTTTAGGAATAGACAAGCCTTTAAAAAATGGGAGGAATCATGTCATCCATCTCGAATTCAATATATTTTTACTAAAATGCCCTTGTTAACTTTTCATATCTAGCCCATTTCCCTTGATTATTTTTTTCATTTTTGCCAATAGTTAATTTTCTATTTTTTTTAAGTTGATTTTTCTTAAAAAAATTAAATTTATTAACATTTTTAATGGTATTTATTATTTTCTCTTTAGAGTATCTTTAATCTTATAAAAAATTATTTTTAAAATAATTTTTTTGAATTTAGTCAAATTTTAAAATTTATTTCCTGTGTATGGTATTTTATATATCTTTCTTAATGTTTTTCTCTTATAAAGTAAAATTTAAATTTAAAATAATTTATTTCTTTTTAAGAACATTATGCGTGTGGATATGAATTTAAGCTGAAAACCCCTAGAAAACTTTTGAATGAAAAGAAAAAAAGGTAAATGCATTAATGGAATAAATAATTATAGTTATGATCTTTTTTATTTTAATTTATATTTAAACAAATAATATAAATAAATTTCATTCCTACCTACTTAATTATTCTACTAAATAAATTTATAGTCATGATCATTCCATTTCTTTCTATTCCCCATGATTTTATTTATTTCCATTACCTTGTTTTTTTATTAACCAAACGTGACCTAAATATTACCTTATATTGTAGCTAAGCTCTTGAGTATCTTAAAAAGTTTCACCTTTTGTTGAGATAAATTCACTAAAATCAATATACACTTTGATTACTTAGAATCTCTTACACTCATCCAACATGATTTCACCAAGAACTAACTTTCCGTTGTTGCTATCAACAAGATTAGGGATATTGTCATGAAGGGTTAAATGATAAGTTTTAATCATACTTTTAAAGAAGTAATCAAATGTATGGACTGACTTACTCAGCAATAAACTAACGACGCTTTAGATGCTAAGATTTTCGTTGACCCACCATTAGGGTACAGACTTGTAAGTTTTGATATGAATTGATTATTATTTCTCACACAGTTTTACGTGGATTTATTAAATGAAAAATCAATAACTTATTCTCCTAGTACTCAACATTTCAAAGTTCATATTTTGTATTTGATTGACCCCATAAGATATAAAAAGTTGATGAATATTTAAAAGCAAAGAGTCTAATTACCAAAAAAAAAAAAAGCAAAGGAAAGAAAGTCACTAACTTATTCAAGTTAACATTAATAAATAAACAAGTTGCCCAACTTGTCAATATAAAATTCTATATAATTTAGTTTGTGGTTAACTTATTCAAAGAAGGTGATTTTTCTTAGCGTTGAAAGCAAAAGAGATTACAATGTCAAATATGTCTGAAAATAACAACTACCACCGACACTAATGTTGGAATTTTTTTTTGTGAAAATTTTAAATTCATTAACTCTTTTCTGCGCATATATTATTTGTTATTTGATGTTTAGTTAAAAAAATTAATTTACATGGTCATTACACATCTCATTTTTTCGGCTAAACTTATAGTCTTATACATGGTCAATTATTTAAGGTTTTGTATTAACTATTGGTCAGCTATGATTTAAATAAGTAAACATACTAAATGTTGCATGAAAAAAATATGGGCACAATACTATTTATGGAGATGATAGAATTTTCATTGACAAATGTAACATTATATTTTTAATCTTTAATTTTTCTAATAGTTTCTATTTCCATTTTTAAATTTATTTATTTCTTATTTTGTATGATTTTTTATTTATTGAATTTAATTAATATCTCAGTTTCATGATTTTATTCTTTTTCAAATCTGAAATATATTTCGTATTATTTAACTATTCTGACATTGATCATTGTCATAAGTCAAAAGACCAAATCCAACAAAATAAAATCAAAGGCAAAAAATAAAATAAGACTACAAGTGAAGTTGAGGAATCTTATCAGAAATAAGAGAAAGGAAATAAAGTAAATTTTTTTTAGTGGGCTTAGCCCGGAGATGTTGAGAGGGTTTCGGACCCTCATCTTATGTATTACTGTTTCCTTTTAAGTGGGCTTAGCCTTGTTTGTTACCAAAGATATTTTTGATTTAGGAACAAAGAAAGATGAAAAGGTAAAAAGGAAAATATATTTGCAGGTCATTATAATTTTACTTAATTTTAAATTACATCTTTAAAATTTATTTTATTTTAATTAAGTCCTTTTAGTTTGATCTATTATATATGTTAACCCTTGAAGATTAAAATTAATAATGAATTGTTAAATTTCATAAAATAAAATATTCTCTGAGTTTATAAAAAAATTAATTTAAAAATTTAAGCTAAAATCAAAAAAATAAAATTTCATTTGATATACTATTTACATTTTTATTAATTTTTCTTATGAAAATTCTATATATATATATATATATATAACATACTTAGAAGACTTTGGCAAAAAAAAAAAAACATATTTAGAAGGCAACTTGATCATATATATTTTGAGTTATAAAAATTAAGTAATTAATTCTAAAATTATATAATAATTTTATAAAAATATAAAAATTCTTAATTTGTTTTTTCAAAAAAAATTAAGGAATTTAACTTTTAGGAATTAAAAATTTAATTGATTAAATTATAAATCTTAATTAAAATAAAATCAACTAATGAATTTAATTCAAATTGAATAAAGATATAAGAACCTGTAGATATATTTTCTTAAAGTAAAAAATAAAATAACAGACAAAAAGAAACAAACAACAAAAGTTGAATGACCAAAAGAATATATTGTAACTTAAAAAAAATCTAAAACTAATTAAAATTTTATTAATTAATAAATATTTTGAATTTCTTTTTTTAGAACTACATAGGCTCTATCTAATTATGTAGAATTTTAAATGAAAAATAATATGTAGGTCCTTATAATTTATTAAAATTTTCAATTAGGTTTCTATAGTTTATTTTGTTTTAATCAAATTTTTATAATCTTATCCATAAGAAAAACATAATACACTGGTCTTT